TTTTAGGCACAAGGGGGCTGTCCCGAAAAATGCTGTTTTGAGAAAATCGAAGGTAAAGTTTTTGCCCCTTGTTCAGTTTCTTTTAAAGACAAGGAGAGTTTTCTCTATAACCAAACAAATATACACACCAATGAAACCAAACTTCTTCCATAGGTAGGACAATGCCCACTTTTGGTGTAGGTCAAGATTTCTGGAAACCCCCGAAATCTAGGTTAGCCCGCCTGTCCTTAAAAGCTACCAAATGATTTACCAATTTTAGAGAGAAGCCCAACTATGTTATAAATTTAAATGCAAGAAAATGAATTTCCTATCAGACTGTTCTCGAAAAAAAATACTTAACGCATAAACCAGTCACGTGGTTGTGTGTGAGCCTGGAGACCCTAGAGCCGAAGAGTTGAAGACTTTGTGAAGCCACAAGGCAAAGATCTAGGTCACGGGGTGAGCAACATGCGTCTGGCAGGGAGGAGTGAGCTGCAGCGAACACAGGACAATGACCTCACAGGGATAGAAATCAAAGAAGCTATAATGTTGTTACATTTTACTCCTGTTCACAAGCTCAGTTTGATACTATGCAGTATAAGACAATCTCTGGACCCCACATTACAATGACATTATATTATGCACGACAGCTATTTCAGGACGTATTTATAGATGTGTATGACCAGGTTCATTACTAGATTAGATTACTTAAGCTTGTGCAATTTTGTATTTATGATGTGTTCACTGCAATTTATTCATTGTTATCCTTTATAAGTAAACTTAATGTAGATACTGTGATTACAAACCCTCAAACAGTAGTTTGTTTGAGGTTTTTGTTCCAAGATCAAGTGACGCCCTTGCTGGGTGTATTGACCAAAACAAAACACCATCTGGGGTTGTGTTTGTTCACTTTTATCTACATCTACCTATGTATCCACCCTCCTATACTCTCTGCCTGCCCGCACAACACATTACACAGTACACACCTGAGACCCTCTGTGTGCTTCCATAACACATTGCACAGTACACACCTGATACCCTCTGTATGCTTCCACAATACATTACACAGTACACACCTGATACCCTCTGTGTGCATCCACAACACATTACACAGTACACACTCGGTATGCTCTCTATGTGCTCCCACAACACATTACACAGTACACACTCGGTATGCTCTCTATGTGCTTCCACAACACATTACACAGTACACACTCGGTATGCTCGCTGTGTGCTTTCATTGCATGCGCCTGGTACATTTGCCTTAGACATTTCTCCAACTTCTTTTTAAACGAGTTTTTAGTTGTGCGAATTTTCTTGTTCGGCCTGGTATTTCATCTTAGACCTGCTTAGAAGACAGAAGTAATTGAGTTTTTCTACAGCGTCTTTTCTCCTTTTTTTCAATGGAGTTCGCTTTGTTCTTGTAGAGTCGTGTAACTTAGTGTTGGGGGCGGCCATGACGCCACTCGCCATCTCTTATATCTTCCTCCCACTCGGAGATATTCTCACATACCCATAGTGCAACCCACACACACTGTTGTATTCCTGCACTCTGGCACGAAAACTCCACGACTATATCATACCTTTCGTCTCTTGACAAACCATGACTGTTTACAACACCGGCTAAAACCAAAGTCAGACTCGCACCCTTTGGCTGCATGTTGTAGATAGATTGCAGCTTTGTTAGGTTGGGCTCTCACCTGTCAATGTGAAACACGACACGCTCTCCTCATCCTTTCTTTGTCCTGTGCTTGTCGTGGTTGTAGAATGTACTCGAAGTATTCTAACAAGTTATATTTGCACTGCGGTGTATGTATTTTGCATTGCATGAACGAATACGCAATTATTACAATTATAGTCGAGAGGGAATCGGAATATTAATGTGGTTTCCATGGTTACATATTGTATACTCCTACTGACACGGGTGATGTACACAAGAAGGTCCCATGTATTCTTTAACTGAATAGCACGAACATTATTCTAACCTTCAGTTATTTTTGCTACCAGTCAAAGAGAATGTTCCTTCTGGTTTAGTTAAGCAGTAGGCCCGTGTGCATTGAACAAAATGTGAATAATAAGCACTTAGCTGGATGGTGAGTGGTGGCAAAGCGAGGTAGAGGTCCTTGACCTTGACCATCAATGTTTTATTTAGGTCTTCGATCAGATTAGACCGTCACTGACATTAACTTTAATGTAAAGTCTCTCAAGCATCACCCTTCCCTGAAGGCGTTGGGGCTGAGATCAGTGATAGGCCGTTAGATACGTGTCTTTTTTACTCTCGTCCATATTTTATTAATCATTTTGTCATTGAAGACGTTACAAAATAAAGGGATTAACTAGGTCACGGTGTGCTGACAATGATGTTCTGAATATTATGACGGCATAACAGGGGAGACCAAACAACAGTGGATCTCAGTAGAATGGCTGTGTGGCTTTAAATCAGACGTATAACCTTAACAAGTCACACAAATTTGGTAGCATAGCATGCTTAAGTCCAACTTTGTTTTTGTTGTTGTTGTTGTTGTTGTTGTTGTTGCTGTTGTTATTGGGGGTTTTTTAGGGGGTCTTTTTTTTTCATTTTTCTCGAAAGCACTCGAGGTGACTTGCTGACTGTATTTTTCTGACTTCTGCAATGAAGTTCATCTTTAGAACTGGGATTTCGTTGATCAAACGCTTGTGTTTGCTGAGAGAGTAATGGTGGGATTTCGTTGATCAAACGCTTGTGTTTGCTGAGAGAGTAATAGTTGCATGCCATGTTTGACCCTTGTTTTTCCGTTTCCTCTTCCATTTGATGACATGACTTACAGCAGCGGAAATGCCTCTCTTAGAGATGTCCGGTGACCCGTGCATGCCAATCGCCCCCTTAAAGACTGACCCTGACCCTGACCCTGACCCCGTGACCTCCAGCTCTGACGTCTGTCCAGATTTAGCGTGCCATATCGTCCAACACTCAGAGGAAAACGAGAGCGGCCAAATCCCAGATTTTTCTGTCAGTACAGATTACAATATGAACAGTAGCGTGGAGGACAAAATGGCGAGAGATGTCCCTGTCCCCACGCCCCTGTCCGGGGGTTCCCCTCTCAACCAATCAGGGACCACCAGCCTCTACTCGGAGTACGACGATTACTCGTACGATCTCGACTCCTCTTTCGATCCGACACGATCTGAAGTCGGTGCGGGGGCTGGGAAATCTTTGTTTGATGAGCTTAGGGAGAGAAATCTGTCTGAAGATCTCTTAAGAGTTGAAGGGATGGGTGGGTTTGACCTAGATGTGGCTGATGGTTTTAATCAAGAGGATGAGGAAGATGATTATGACGATAACGATATAGACAGGACGTTAGAACACGTTCCTGCGCTTGATCTTGAGAGCTTAGATAGGGATAGCTTTTCAGAAGATAAAATATCATGCAGTTCTGAATTGTCCTTAATAGAGGAATTGGAATCAGCCAATGAGCGTGAAGAGAATCAACAGGAAATGTCCAGCCAGGCCTCTGAGCCGGTCCCTCGTTTAACAGCACTAGCCAATGAGAACCCGATCCTCACTCCGCTGCAGCCAATCAAGTCTTTCAAAAACGGCGCCGCCATATTTGTGTGCGAGGTGGTGAGCCGGAAGGCGAAGGTCACGTGGCTGAAAGGGGCGGAGCCTATCTGTGGCAGCAGCGACAAGTACACGGTGACAGTGGCCGGCAAGATGCACTCACTCACCATCCATGACGTGCAGGCGGATGACGCAGGCAGTTACTGTGCCAGTTGTGACGGCCACGAGTCGGCGGCTGACCTTGAAGTCAGAGGTCGGTTTGCCTAGAGTAGAGCGGGGCGTCGTTTTGGGGGCTTTTTCTCACAGATATCATTTTATCTCGCTTCAGTTACAACTTTCCCTAGACGTGATTTAATTTTCCCCATCTGGCCTTAAGCTACTTTTTAAAGAAATCATTTGTAACATTAAGCCTGTCCCTCGGCTTCTGCTCTTGCCTGGCCCATGTACTCCTAGAGGCTCAGCTCTTCTACAATGACGTGCTTTGCTCTCAGTGCCCATGTATTCCTAGAGGCTCAGCTCTTCTACAATGACGTGCTTTGCTCTCAGTGCCCATGTATTCCTAGCGGCTCAACTCCTCTACAATGCCCTCCTTTACTCTGTGTGGGGCGTCTGTACTCGCCTCTGTGTAGACAATTGCTGGATGTATCCAAGACTTGAGATGACCTTGAGGTTCTGTTGCCAATTGTTTCAAGGTTTACTTCAGATAATTCCTTATTAAGTCTAATATCTTTTTCTTCGTTTGTTTGCAAGGCCATTTCTCTCATTCATGAGCTATGATTTTTCTAGTTTGAGTTACATACGCGCGCGTCACACCGCTATGTGTTCTATGATTTTGTGTAACTGTTGTCAATTCTCCCCCCCCCCTCCCCACCTTCTTTTTACCCATCAGTTTACGCTCATTTCTTTTGATTAGTTCTTCACCCATCGCTCCGTCCCAGTCAGTATGAATAAGTACAGATCAAATAGTCATAATTTTTCATTCTTCAAATCAAATATCGTTACCGTAAATCAAAGACCTTTTGTCAAAAACGTCACCCATCGATTGTACAGAACGTCATGAGAGAAAATATGTCCAACCAAAAGATCAAGGTATTTCCTTTTCATAATCATAAAGAGTGCACATTTCTGAGCCTTTTTCCTAGGGTTGATATCAACAGTCCCTTGTACAGACTCCACTGTGAGAAATGTTAAATACCTCAGCGTCGTGATTTATTTTTCTCTCTGTAACGTGTGTCCTGGTAAAGAGAAAAACTTGATAAATTATCTATTTTAATTGTAACAAAATGTTAAACACCTTGATTGTGTATAAGCATTGCATTATAATGTCTGTTGTACAGTTGTAACAAAAGAAGTTTGATTGTAAGTGACAAGATGTACATAGCTATGTTCAAGATCTCAAAATAATTCCTGTAGTAATAATATGTGGTAGTGAAGAAGAGAATGTTCTCTGTAGCTGTGTAAGAGTTCTCTCTCTCTCTCTCTCTCTCTCTCTCTCTCTCTCTCTCTCTCTCTCTCTCGTGTGTGTCTGTGTGCGGTGGAGGGACCTACATACCTGCGTCATAGAGCTCGCCCTGTTAGCCACCTGTACAGTACCTCATGCTTCTCATTCAATCCATCCATAAACGACTTGCTAACTGGTTATACGCCATTTTTCTCTGTCTCATTTTTAACATCGGTGATAACGAACTATGTATATATATAATTATATCATAATAATATACTCCAATGCCCTTTTAGCCAGCTTTCAATGCGCTGCTTTGACAATGCTTCATTAACCTCGGCCATGCCCTTTGATATTATTAAAATCTTACCTTGCATGAACCCGCAATAACCCGCTTTGTTTTCTTCCTTTACGGTCCATGTTGCATACCCTGTGGGAGTTCATGTATCATAATCTGTGGCTTGTATCATATCTGTGGGTTGTATCATACCTTTAGGTTGTATCATAATCTGTGGCTTGTATCATAGCTGTGGGTTGTATCATAATCTGTGGCTTGTATCATATCTGTGTTGACCTACTCCTACAAGCCTCACTCTTGAGCCTGCGTCTGTCTTGCTGTGCTGTCATATTGCCATCTGTTGAATCGTGCCCCAATGAAGGTTGTCACTGTCCAGTGTCGCATTGTGTGCACCGTCCTTGTCCTGTGTTGAAAAGTGCATTGTGCAAGCATAATGTGGCCCGTTCTGTCCTTGTCTGACATACAACCCCCTCCCCCACCCCCACCGTCTCGTGACGCTGTCTGTGTGTATATAGATGTGTTCCGTGTGTGTCCCGTGCTGTAAATGTGTAGGTGTGTGCTTGCCCGTCTTGTACTGTCTATGAAATGCCCATGATGCCATCTCTTGTTTTGCTCTATATCTATGACTTAGATCTTTCCTTTTCTCAAATTCCCTCATAAAACTAGCGCCAACTTTGCTCTGGTTTGCAGGTTTTTTTCTTGTAATCAAAACTAGATTTCTGGTACTCTGGCTTTTCCTGAGTGGCTAAACCCAACTGTTCTAAAAACATCAAGCTATCAGAGCGACTCAGAAGATACAACACATTTCTAGTCTCACATAAAAACTTGCTGAATAAAGATATAAACACAACCACTAGAAATCTGAGAGCTGTAGGAACGGTGTCCGGATTTTTCAGCAGACTCAATGAGTGTATCGAGATACAGTCATTTTGAGAAGTTACTTGCCCTGAGTCACTGTCTTGAGAACAGCGGTGAAAGAAATCAGAACAAAAGAGATGTAAAAAAGCAACATTTCCACTCCATCAGTACGCTTTAAGCAGACCAGTAACTTAAACTGACCAATTCACAAAGCGAGGAACAATAGCGGCAGAACTACACATCACTAGAACCAAAGTATTTCAACAAAAACACAGACACAAACTTTCACGAGACCCAGAACACGAACACGACAGAAAAGAACTTATTCCCCAGCCATATGGCCCCAGTGTGCATCTCATTATCAAACCTTGATTAAGGAAAATTAAAACACCAAAGATCACTTCTATTACCCTCACTCCCTGAAAGCACTAGG